CCATTAAAATTTTAATGACGCCTTCAATCTCTAATGAATGTCAAATTTATATGGGTAATGTCGCCTTAAACTAAGGATCATTTTAATGGACGTTTGTGCAACTGGCTGTAAGAATGACAAAAAAGGTCGTGAATACGATTTACAGTAACAAACAATTTAAAGTATGGATACTGATACCTGATTTTCCTGTACATACATATCTCCATTCTTGATATTACACCAACCAAACATATCTATTGATACCAACTCACAAATTAATTACATTTCTCATTGGTAATGAAGCGTATCGGTCGCGAGTCAATATTTACGCATTATCTACAGTAAGAATTTTTCTAACAAGTTTTTAATATTGTTTTGTGTGAAATAAAGTTTATTCTATGTATCTAAATAAAAAATAAAAAAATAACTGAAGTTTTTAAAGAAAAATATTTCAAATCAGGTATCTCGAGATCGAGTCGCCCGTATTCCAAAAGATAGGTTCGAATCCTACTGGTACCTAGAACTGGTGGTTTAAGCGATGTTTTTATAAATGTTTAATATACATTCATTCTTAAAATTTTAACCTTATAATTACAGAATTTCATTTGCGAGAATAATATTATGTGCATTATTTTCTTTGCTGGATGATTTTTTTTTAAATATATCATTTAACTTACAATTATAATTGAACTTTAGTTTCACTATTTTCCTTGCAATTTTTTACCTACAAACAATTTTGAAACAAAATTAGTCAAATCGGACTATTCTTTTATATTGTGTATGTTAGCAAAGGAGTAATACCAGTCTTATAACCGGGCAGGAAATTCTCTCTGTTTGGTGGTTAGGCTATAACAAACGTTATTTATTTATTTATAAGAAACTAGCTTTCCGCCGGCGGCTTCGCCCGCGTTGTACTATATTATGCATATAAATCTTTCTCTTTCACCATTCTATTCGTTGTTGAAAACGGCATTTAAATCCGTTGTATAGTTTAAAGATCCCAGCGTACAGACAGCTTTTTCTTTTTTGGGAAATCGTGTAAGAATAAAGTCGCTTCTGTTTATTTTTACGTGATTGCCCAAAAAAGTATTTATATTGTTTTTGCGGTTAATGTGTGTATGTATGTGTGATTCTTTAATCCACCATAACTTTTGAAATATCATATTTGTATATGGTATCATTAAAAATCTCACATCATCCCTAGTAACCTAGCTAGTAGGTATATACTCATTTAAAAAATATGAAAAATCATACAATTTCTTTTATTTTTAATTCTATTATGGCAATGGAGTTTTTTTTTTAATATTTCAATTGTTTATTTTTTACACTATGAATAGATAGTGTTAAGACACCATGGTAAAGCCCTTGTCTACCACATGAAGAGGGGCGTCCCTTTTACATCTGTACACAGAATTTATTAACTTTGGTAGGCTCTTGTAACACAATATAACATGGCATCGCTCGTTATTCCATTTTATTGTGGATTTTAATTAAAAATTTAATATTATTGAGGAAAATCTAAAGTCCTATAATCTCGAAGCTCATCTTTCAAATGAGTATTTTTTTTTATATTTTCCATAAATTTTTTCCTTTACATTAATTCTGTAAATAATCTTACCAGCACAGCTTTATCCGTAGTTCATTAAAAGAGAATCCTTTATAGGGTTCCGTACTCAAAGGGTAAACCGTGAACCCTATTACTAAGATTTCGCCGTCTATCTGTCTGTCACCAGGCTGTATCTAATAAACCGTGAAAGTTAGACAGTTGAAAATTCACAGACGATATATTTCTGTTGCCGCTTCAATAAAAAATTCTAAAAACTAGAATAAAATAAATTTTTAAAGGAGCTCCCATAAACAAAAGTGTTTTTTTTTTTGCTATCACCAGGCTATGACATCAAAAAAACCATGAACCGTTAAAGTTAGACAGTGGAAATTTTCACAGACGATGTATTTATATTGCAGCAGAACAACAAACATTAAAAAATAGATAAAATAAATATATCAGGGGCTCCCATACAACAAACGATACTTAACCATTGCTCATTTTCGATACTTAACCCTCCGTGCACAAGTCCGACTCGATCTTGACCGGTATTTATATATAACATTTCCGGCAATTTTGTCAGCGTAAATTATAGCCATCATCCGCGTGTGATATAGCTTCCCGGAGGTGAAAGAATTTTCATTATCGGATCAGTATTACCGAAGATTACTCTATACAAACAAGTTTAGAAACTTTACATCTTTATAATATTGGTATAGATAGAAATCATCATCTACATCAGCCCTTTTAAGTCCCCTCCGCTGGGGCTCAGGCCTTCCTTACAGATGGTCAAGAAGGATCAGCCATGACCCTCCACGCTAGCCCAATGCAGATTGGAGCGTATTAACGATTGCAAATGCAGCCGAGACCAACGGCTTAACGTGCCGTTCGAAGTACGGAGTAGCTCGACATAATATTTTTTCGATCACTCATCCCGTGATCGACCTTTGCGACAGTTGCTTGATAACAACAAAATGAGACAATTAAAAGATGACAAATAGAAGTGAGTTTTAAAGTTTTACGGAACTATATATTTTTATAATGAAACAACTTTTTAACGGTTTAATCGCGTTTGTATTTAGTTTTATTGACGTTTCGGACCGTTTACAGGTTCCGTGTTCACATAAGAACACGGATATTAGTCTTATGTGAACATGGAACATGTAAATGGTCCGAAACATTAATAAAACTAAATACGAACGCGATGAAACCGTTTAAAAAGTTGTGTAATTTATGGATAGGGCGCGTGAAAATTTATGAAATCTATATATACCTGTATATTTTCTTTTTTATTATAACAAAGATTGCTTTTTAAATCAACTCTCCTCAATATTGTTCAATCACCATTGTCAATCACAATAAAACAAACGCCGGGTGATGTAAATTATGCCATTTTAATTAAGATAGTCGTCTATTCATACGAATTCATTAACAGAAACCGTCACACGGAATTCCGTTCACAAGTTTCGGTGATGGCGACATCGCGTGTTCAGAATATATGTTCTACATAATGATACTATTTAACTGGAATTAGGAAGATATTTAAGTATACTAAATTATGAAGCGTTAGAATTAAAAGAACATGTGTTTTATTTAGAAAAAAAAAAAAACAATTGTCTCAGGCATTAACTGGCTTCACCGTAGATGTCGGAATCTATTTTTCTGTTCTGTCGTTGTTGAGGACGTATGTTGTTTTATACATTAGAATGAAACGGATTGTTTCTGCAAATTTATTCTTATTGTTAACTGACTTCAAAAAAAAGTTTCACAGTTTGACCTGTATGTATGTATGTTTCTGAGCGATTATCACGCGTTTGGCTGAACCGATTTTGATGCGGTTTTTGGAATAGTATTTTTTGTGTTATCTATTATATAAAAAAAATTATATTACTAAAAAGTATGATATAAAAACTTAAAAAAAATAGAAGCGGCATCAAAATGAAGTCCGCTGCCTATTATTTAATTAATAACCTACCATTTTCTTGATTAAGTCGCTTTTTTAACTTTGAAATCGGTTTTTTAAATCTTAATATGTTGTCATATATTTAACAAACTCCCTCTATATGTATATTTATTTCTATGGAAATAGTTTTTCGGTTGGTAAAACATTTTATTAATCTCTTTTTCTTATAAAATATGTTTTGAGATTCGAAAGAAATTAAAATAATGTGAGTTAGGTTACTAAGGAGTTTTTAATATTAAAATTTCACACTTTCATAAAAGATGCAGAGAAGGCTTCTCTTTTTGAAAGATCTAGTTCCAAATATCGAATAGTATGGATTTTTTTTTTAATAGTACAGTCCACTAAACCTAATTAATAAATTCTATTCTGCACTAATAATAACTTCCAGAAATACAAATAGGAATTGTTAATAGACAAAGCGTCACGTTTCTAAGATATTTGCGTTATCAAAATAGTATAATTGAGCATGCGTACAATAATAACTTTAGTATATTGGTCATAATATTAGCCGCCTGACTTTATTAGATGACTTTTGAATTACTTTTAACTTTTGTTAAGCATATCGCAGACAATTTTTTTATGGATGGTAAAAAATATATCTATAATATATAAGTTATGATATGACAATATGTTTGAATCGCCATTTGGATTTAGTATAATCACGTCAGACTACAATCTGACTTTCCCCACTCGATCGAATCCTTAACACATTAATGTTCGAGGTCAAAATCCATTGCAGAAATAAAGTACACATTGGTTACCTAGTTAAAAAAGGGGTTATTAAAAAAAAAGTTTTTTTTTTTATAATCTGTTTTTTTTCATCAACATTTTCTCTTTCTCTTATTGATGAAAATATAATATGCCACACTGTTGATATGGCAACCTAATACTTTTGAGTAGAAAATAGAACAACCATTTTCTTCTACTTTTAATCTTAAACCAAAGTACCTATATAACAGAGGAGATTATATTATAATCACCTGTGCATTATTTGGTCCTGGTAACTGGTAATCTTATAATTGACCTAAATCGAAATTAATGTATTTTGTACACCCTATTCAAACGCCAATAAATTATTATTATTTAGTTTATATTTATAATTTACTCTTCCCGACCCCTCGACGATTATTATTATTATTATTACCTGTATTTTTCCATTTCTTCTACTTGTTTTCTTTGATTTTTCATAAATAACAGAGAGAAAAATATTGATGAAAGAAAATGAAATTTACTAATGACCCGATCTAAGGTTTTAGGCTTTACGAAGTTGGTTGCAGACTTGAGTTGAGTTTGAGTTGTTGGCTGAGTTAGATGGAATAATCCTATACTAATACGCTGGATTTATGCATACTAGCTTTTAATTGTATTGTTATCATTTTTACTAATATTATATTAAAATTCTACTGTTACTAACTTTAATTTAAGCGCCACCATTAGAAATTGCTTATAAAATTGTTCCACTTTTTACTTTGGGAAATAAAAGAAATTGTTTGGAATATTGTTTTTTTATTTGAACATAAAAAAAGTTTCGACTAGAGGAAACATCGTTGGCAGTGATATTTCAGTTATCGTTGATTGTTAGATTTGACTATTTGGTAAATTAGAACTTCCTGACGGGCTCTTCTTTGGGTGGGTGAGTCCTGATGTATTCCAGAGACCTGAGGATGTAGTCGGGGATGGGTTCGGGGGCGGGGGGAGTAGGCAGATGGGCACCCTGTTAACAAATAACAATATTAGTTAATAAAATACGTGTTCACTTAAAATTGAATTCAATGTCAAATAAAATAAAGTTCAGATAACCACTATCAAAAATATATTTTTATTAGAACGATTTCATTAAAAAAGCCGATAGTAAAAATTTATAGGGTCAACAAGCTAACCGAGGGCGAATTTTTGTGGCCATCTCAGAGACAGATTCAAGCATTTTTTTTTTCATTTAATACTCATTAGTACTAATCATATTACATTTATGAAATATATGAATTAGCAACTTTACTAATTATGTATAACTGTATTATCATTGAAACCAAAAGTTCGGAATATCAAAATATTTTAAAAATATGACCCATAGTAACATACTTGACATTGCTTTATTAAAATTCCACACAAAACGGACTGATTTAATAAATTCATCAAAAGTCAATACAAAAAAAAATTGTAGTAAGAAATATAACTTGATTACGAAACACGTGTATCAAACCAAGATGTCGGACTACCTTCGTCGAAATGTATAATTGATGAGTTAACTTGATTTAAAGATGTATTGATCTTGAACTTCATTATAATACTTGTCCTATTAATTCACGAAGCTTCGTCTCAATGTCGACCTACTTGATAATACTCTTGATTTCAAGGCCTTGATGCCATTCGCCCGTTCTCAAAGTCCTCATTGAGTAATTAATTTTAACAAACGTCGACTGTATAATTTACTTTTAATATTACACTGTAAAGTTCAAGTGCTACAGATATCAAAAACGAATATCATTTTGACTGGTTACACTTAAAATATTAGGAGTCTACTTCCGAAATTCATTGAGAATTTTAATTGTTTTAATACATATAAATTACTAATTAAGTAATGGGCACTTTTGGATTTATTATATGATAATAATTTACCTGGGGTTGGTATCCGTTCTCATCGGCTACGTAGGAGATTTGGATGGGGGTGCCATCGGGAGCGGTGTATTGGTTGGAACCCTGAACTGAGATGGCCTCGTCCTCCTGATGTAAGAAAAGCACATTTTAATAAGAAACACCGACAAAATAGGGGAGTCATTAATAACATAATTAGGGATAATGAGAGAATATTCTTTGTTAACATAAACATAACATGTTAACATAAATGATATCGTAAATAAAACGTAACAAAAAATTGCTTGATATATTACGTTAGAATAAATGAACATAATAGATACTTTATTAAGATAATCTATTTATATAATGCAAACGAGATACCGTTTGCTAGTCTCACAAAAACTCGAATCGGTTTACCTAATATTAGTTTTGAAATATTTGTCATACACACTATCGCAGGTACCTGGGTCTGGTGGATTTTTTTAGCATTGTGAATGAAAAATTGATCAAATATCGCTACGAAACTATTAAAAGTAACTTTTTAATTTTCTCATATAAACTGATCGTCTCTGTCAAAAATTTTTAAATTTGTCATTGACAGTTAGTCGCATTAAAAAATCAATAGCACTTTATTCATTAACAAATTCGTCGTCGCAATATTAAGACAATCCTATATAGACTAGTGTTACCGCATAAATCACATATGTTATAAGCAAAAAAGTGATTGTGAAATATATAACTGTGTTATACGTAAGGCAGATGGTGTTAGCTAACTAATAGACAAAAGGTTAGGTAAAAGGTTGCGCCCGGTCGCAACCTGTGTGGAGAAACCCGAAATATAATAATGAGATTGCGTATGCGACACGTTTGAAATTCGAATTTGCTTTAATGATTCTGAAACTTTTTTTAAATGTTACCAACAGAATCTAAAAAGTTTGGATAACTCAAAGCAGTTTTAATATATTATATTTTAGAGGACATTAAATGTGACCTATTATATTATTACTGATAAATTTCTTCTTTTTATTCAAGTAAAAATAGTTTAAATATTTTAATAGCAATGTGTGTGTATTTATAATTTTTTCAACATTAAGATTTGTACATTTGATATTGAGTTAATAATCCACCTTAGGAAAATATGATAATTTAATGAAATATTTATGTGGGTTCGTCCATTTGGTTAAATGTCATTCGGTTGAGGCCTTCAATTCAACATTCTGTTAATAGTATGATGAACACTACACGTTTTCCTTGACTTTAACTTAGAATCTTTGGTTCAAGCGTTTAGAATTTTAATTATTTATTTAAGTAAGAACGTAATTTTGATAATAAATGATTTTAAATATTAAGCTCCGAATTACAAGTATATCTCGAGTGACGCCATGTATTGAATACACACTCAAGCTATTGAATAAATTTAGTAATTTTTAAATCATAATGGGATTGACGTGAAATTGTAATCTTTACTTCTTCTATTAAAGGCAATTCGAAACTAGATTTCAAAAGTAATTTCAATAAATCAACCATTCTAATACATAATTTTAAGTTGCGTCAAAAACTTTACGCAACGCTTTTGCATTTGGAATAAAAAGTTTTTTTTTATATTTTTAATCAAAACTTCCGCATATTTTTTATTATAATTTGTTCCACTTACTCGGCCAGCGTTCTTCAGCTGTCCACTCTCTTGGGCAGCGATGCCGTTGCTTGTCTCATAAGCGTACTGGTATTGATCAGGGAACACATCAGCTTCTTGTTTCAAAATCTGTGCATCTTGATCCGGATTGCGGAGATGAGATACATCAGCGGCGGCAAGAGCCACGAAGGCGAGGATAGCAACGAAGGATTTCTGGAGAAAAGAGGTTCAATATTACCTACACCTTGTTTACAAGAGTATCTCTTAATATAAAATATTTAAGATTCCAATTATTAGCTGAGTTAGATGATTTTATCAAAATTAATTTATTTCTGATAAAAAATATTATAAAGTTGATAGGACATATAAATCAGATCAATAAAATTGCCGGATAATTTTGATCGTATCTTAATCACTGATTATTTAAAATCCTGATCAAAAATGATTGCTTGTTAACCAAGTCCAACTTACCATGTTGTGTCAAAGGTAAAGACGAACTGTGACTGTAGTTGTGAGATGCGCGCTCACCGTTTTATACTGAAACAGACCGTTCGAATTATCGGCATTTACATTATTTTGCAACAAAGAAGATCTGATATTCAATATGATTTAATTCTACGCAAGGTGAACGCCTTCGAGGGCGTTTTTCTAAGACTGGACATCCGCCTTTTTAGCTGGGAATTGATTAGGAGACATATTATCCTCATTAGTGATGTTTTTAAAGTTGAACCAGACGAGGTCTTCTTGATTTCTAATGTTATCTTAAACGTAAGCGTACAATAACGATTATTCTAATGTTTTTCCATTCTGGTTCATCGGACAATTTTCAAGTCTTTGAAAATAAAATAGTAAAAAATATATAAGTATCCGATTTTACACTTCAGTTACAAAAACATTAGAAAAGGTAAATAATGACGTGTAATTGAGTGAATCAGGTATTATAAATAATAGAGACCTACCAATGACTTATGTCAATTTCACAATAAAAATAATTACGATATCTATATGGTCACAAGTTGGTCACAATGATTGTGTTGATAAAAAGGTACAGATTTTATTTTTATAGGTAGGAAAGATTTAACTTTATCTACATTAATTTCTGGCACACTTAACTAATATTCATACTATTTGAAACGAATTGAAATGAAACGAAAATGTCTTATTCAAGTAAGCTTCCAAGCACTTTTAAATCGTCCAAACATTTTTTCTCCCGTACCACTCATTCAGGGCGTCTTTTAGATGACAAGAAAAATAAGCGAAAGAAACTGACCAGCCCTTTATCATAAATAATGGCATTTACATAAATCATTCCATTACCATAACAGTACGTATTATAACAATTATAAATACAATTTTCAATGTCTATAAGACATAGGTTGGTACATCTAATTAGTTGTTATAGAACAAAATCTATTAATTCCATGCATTGCGGTCCTTAAAATAATCATCAACTTTATAATAGCCTTTACTCATAAGGATGATCTTTACATGAATTTTAAATTTATTTATGGGTAGGTCAATTACATTTCGTGGAACTTTATTTTACAAAGCAATACATTTACCCAGAAGTAATATCAACAATAGTTTTTACTATGTTAAAAAACGAAACAATAAAAACAAATTACAAGATTGCACTATAAATGCAAAATAACAATCATAGGTTATAATTGAAGATTTTTAGTTTAGAGAGTACATCATCACCATCAGAACAAATCCAGGGTCATGTTTAGGTAACAGACAGATATTTATGGATATTTATAGATATTTTATTAAAAAATATGACGTTTAGAATCCTTTTCAAGATACGTCAAAAGTGTAAGACAAATTTCACAAGCTTGACCCTTTTAACATCCTATTAATATTATAATTGTGAAATTTTCTTTGTTTGGATGCTTGTCCGTCAATCACGCTGAAACTGCTAAACGGATTTTGATGAACTTTGGTATATAGATAGGGTATTCACTGACTTATATTATAGGAAACTTTTTATCCCACTTAATAGTTCCCTAGGGTGACACGCGGGCGAAGCCTAAGCGTCTTCCTACCTACCTGGCGGAAAACTAGTTATTTTATAAAACAAGTCATTATGTGTTATGTTGTGTGTTTTCCTTGTTCTGTGGTCGTGACAAACTTTAAAACAGTCTGATATTACCAATACTATATACAATATCTTTAGCCATATTCTATGTATGGGACTGATGTACTTGTATCGTGAGAGAACATATCACTTCAATGTAGTTCCACCTTAAGATACAACTCCCACGACAGAGAGACGTACAGACACACATACGAATAGCAATAGCATATTATTAATATGCTTTGGGGGTGATACAATAAAACATTATTTCTTTATTATTCCAAATTACCTGTACTCAAATAGGTAACATCATATCTTTTTCTTAGTCTGTGAGAAACATAAATTTTGGTTCAATTAATCTCTTTGGTAAAACATATTGATGTTAGGGTAAATTATTATATTATTACACTTTGCTAGCTAAGCATATACTATTCTGTTATAAAAACAGTCTCGAATTCGAAGTCAATCGATAGCTTTCATAGTATAAGGATTAAATCAAATTAGACCTATATCTAAAAGTAATAATATCCATCCTTGTATCCATTAGGCTTAGCCAGAAAATTATGCAATGCTATTGCTGATATGGAAACATAACTTTATCTGATTTAATAAGTTTATTTTATATTACAAACTCGCAACACCACCAACACTATCTCAATAAATCGTCACCGGCGAAATGTGGGCGCGAATCTCATGTCAAACTCAAAGTGACAGTGACATTTCAGTGACAGATAGTGATTTCCGTTATACAATCGATATATAGTGATCTCCATGGTCTTAGATATTTTTTTAGTCTAACAATAGCTAGATATACTTTAAATTAATTCAATACTAATGGCCCCGAATGAATTTAGTTCTGCCTAACAGATTTTAAAATGAATACAAAATTATTAAAACGAACCAGAGATATAGACAACATTAGGTGAACGCTCAATGAGGAAGTTTAAAAAAATATCAGTTCCTAAAATCAAACTAGATTTCGCTATGGTATTTTCTTGATTACTCCATGACAATCCTTCCGGTTTTCTTTCATGTATAAAAGTAAATTAATTTTCAAAACTCAATAAAGAGATCATATTCTATTCGTATTTGTATTTATATCTAAGTTTAGAACTTTGCAAATTTCATTAATATGTTAGTTAAAAGAAACGGAAATGACTATCTTTCGTCCATTCGTTTCCTGCAAAAATCAACTTTTTCTAGAGTTGCCATTTAGTGAGATGCTTTTTACTGCTTTCTTTTTTTTCTTAAAATACTTCCTCATTGCGTTTTCTTAAAACAAATGGATGAACGTGAGCTGACAGTATGAATGTGAATTTTATTATAACCCATCACTATTATCACTGCTGTATTGCCTCTTTTATTAATATTATTGTTGTATTGTTTAATAAGTTATCATATTTTAATACTTATTATCCTATTCCGGATGAAGACTAATCACAAGAATCATTAAAATTAACCAGAGGTTCTCGAATTATAAATGGTATAACTGACATTAAAACTATATCGTTTATTTATAACAATACTAGTATATTAAAGGAGGCTTCAGAACTATTATACCGATTTTAAAAATGTTATCCAAAGTAACACCAAATAAAGGGATGACAATGGGAATGGAAGTTTTTATAGGGAATTACAACGTCATCATAATAACCATGGTTTACTATTACATTTGTCATTATAATTATGTCCGTGTCTGTGTGTGTGTGATTTGAATCGATATCCAAATAAACAGTTCCCTAGGAACGATGCGAGCAAAGCCGCTGGCGGAAAGCTAGTAGATGATAAAATACAAGTATTAGATAAAGATCACACAAACATTTACACTTTGTGGGATACGAATCTACGGTCATCGGTCAGGGCCGCCGGGCGCGTAAACACCTAGCCTCCAAGTTGATTCTTAAAGCTTTTCATTGTTATTCTCTTTGATTATAAAACAGGTATAGAAAATATAAAGCACAGGTTATTCATTATTCGGGTATATATGTTTCTGTATCAATATATTATATGTTTTATTTAAGACGCTGAATAGTGCCAAATCGGTAAAATTGATCTTGGATTGTACTAATTCACGGGAAACCTATGGCAATCCAAAAATTTGTGGTTATACTTGATCGTATTTCTGATCTTGTGGTTGAAACCGAAACATGATTGTATTAACTTCACTCGATAGAAAATAATTCCAAAGTAGCATCTAAAAATATTGCGAAAGGCTCTTTTCTCAATTATGTGATACATTAGAGTAATGATATTGAGTACAAATATGTATCAAAGGTTAATATAAAAGTTGGTTATTCCCAATTTTTGATAATGTTATTATAATAATTATTATAATTTATTTTGTGATATGGCACATATGGTCATTTTTTTCAAGCAACTTTAAAGTATTGACATTTCTGTCACTCCTACTGCAATTGACAGGGAAGGCTATAGAATAACGCACACTAACTTAGTTCACGCTGAGGCGTGTTGCTAGATGGACCTATGTTGCTTTGTGCAGCGTTCTGACGTACCGAGATCGCTAAAATTGTAAAAAAAAGAACATTTAAAATAAGTATTTGAATTTCGCCCTCATTTAAACAATATGTTTGGTGTAATGTACGAGGGAAGGGACCCGAGTGTCTCGAAGTTGTAAGTTCTAATCCCACCAGAGCTCGCATTTTTTCAAGTCGTTTTTTTATTATTTTATTCTAATTTTCATTTTTTTTCTGCCATAATTTTAGAAAGCAACTTTTTTTTATATTATTAAACAGTATAAAATGTGAAAATAAATATTTCTTTAGTATGACGTAGGCGAAAGTCAGACTGACATTTTCATACAAAACCCCGATATTGATGAAATAGTTCCAATAAAATACATGTTCGTGTTCCAATCCCATCAAAGAAGCATTTTTGTTTTACTTTTATCTTCTTTTTCCTAATATATTTTCCTCTCTCATTTTTTTATAGGTATATGTTATTCATTAATAATTCGTTAAAATAATTTTGAATATTATTTTATACAGTAATTAAGTATTATTTAATTATCTAGTCTAGTTGATAACTTTAATTGCTGTAAAAATATATAACATAAAATTTGACAATAGGTAAATATTTCCATAAAAGTATGTGTTTGCAAAAGTTTGACATTTTCATGCAAAAACCATCCCGTAGACCGTTACTCTAGAAAAAAATAATTCCTAATCAATCATATTGTGTAAATAAAATAGTTCAATAAATAGGTATTACTTTATAAAACAGATATAAAAAAGGGAATTAGTTACTATTGAATGAATTTGAAAATTATGGTAACAGTGTACTAAATAATAATGTACAGGTTTTTCACAAACTTTACTAGTGTTTGGTGTGGCGCAATGTCCTATGTGCTGGTCACTAGGTACTCATTGTGCCGCAGATCAAAACCAAGTTTCATTTTTTTTTTGTATCTTAA